CCCCCTCTACTCTCTTGTAATGGATTGAGTTTTCCCTTTGAAGTTATCTTATCGGATTGAGTCTTTAAGGATTTGAGAACACTTGATGTATGTCTTGCGTGGGATACCCGTGGTGACAATGGAGTATTCTATTGATCCACTTGATGTATGTTTTGGTGATCAACTTGCGGGTTCCGCCCATGAACCTATGCATAGGGGTTGGCACACGTTTTCGTCTTGACTCTCCGGTAGAAACTTTGGGACATTCTTTGAAGTACTTTGTGTTGGTTTGAATAGATGAATCTGAGATGTATCGTATGATCATACCCACGGATACTTGATGTGACATTGGAGTATCTAGGTGACATTAGGATTTTGGTTGATTTGTGTCTTAAGGTGTTATTCTAGTACGAACTCTATGATAGATTGAATGGATAGAATAGCTTCATGTTATTTTACTAAGGACTCTTGAATAGATCGATCAGAAAGAATAACTTTGAGGTGGTTTCGTACCCTACCATAATTTCTTCGTTTGTTCTCCGCTATTAGTGACTTTGAAGTGACTCTTTGTTGCATGTTGAGGGATAGTTATATGATCTAATTATGTTATTATTATTGAGAGAACTTGCACTAGTGAAAGTATGAACCCTATGCCTTGTTTCAACACATTGCAATACCGTTTGTGCTCACTTTTATCATTAGTTACCTTACTGTTTTTATATTTTCAGATTACAAGAACCTTTATTTACCATCCATATTGCATTTGTATCACCATCTCTTCGCCGAACTAGTGCACCTATACAATTTACCATTGTATTGGGTGTGTTGGGGACACAAGAGACTCTTTGTTATTTGGTTGCAGGGTTGTTTGAGAAAGACCATCTTCATCCTACGCCTCCCACGGATTGATAAATCTTAGGTCATCCACTTGAGGGAAATTTGCCACTGTTCTACAAACCTCTGCACTTGGAGGCCCAACAATGTCTACAAGAAAAAGGTTGTATAGTAGACATCAGAGGGCGCCGGAGCCAGGCCGTCGTGCCTGGCAGATCGACCTCGACTCCGCTGAGGACGACGACAACGACCCGCCGGCCCGCACGGCGATGAAGAAGAAGATGAAGGCCAGCGGCTCGACCAGCCGCTCCGCACGCTGGTGACGGCCGCCGCGGTCGGCCGGTTTCCGTTGTGTACCCCCAATCCCCCTTCTGCATTCCGATCTTGCATGTATGAACTCGTATGAACTGCTATGAACTAGTATGAACTACCCCTATCCTTATCTACCTCCATTCCCCATTCCCCTCCGTCGTGGATCGAATCTAGCGTGCGTGCATGTCGAAGAGAGAGAAGTGCTTACCGCCATTGATGAAGTCAGGTGGTCTTCTTCCTCTGCTTCGATCCGCCGCCGCCGGTGATGGAGTCCGGTGATCTTCTTTCTCTGCTCCAATCCGCCGCCACCGATGAGAATTGGGAGACTGGGGAAGAGTGGGGAGAGGGAGCGGTGAGGGGCGATGAGGCTAATAACTGCCGGCGCTTCGAGAAGCAACACGGCTTCTCGAGCGTGGCCGCATGTGTGCAGCCGCCGCCGCCCACGTGCACCGCTCGGGCCTGGCCCTGAAGAAACTGCCGATTCGTGCATTTACAATGAGCCAGGCCTGAAGGTGCTTTAAGAAGCGTGTGATACATGCCCAATAATATATGCGGACCATCAAATAGGCTGATCACTTCCCACACGGGCTTGATTGAGGCCTATGCAGGCAACCAAACACGCTGGGCCGGCCGAGTCGCACGGGTCCTGCGTCGCATTTCATAGGAGCTCGCTCCACTAAAAAAAATCGCTCGCTCCACTAAAAAAAAAAGAATCGCTCGCTCCTGGCACGCTCGTGAGAAGCTGGCCATCGATTCCTGGCAATGGAGTTGAGGATTTCAATGGCGCGGCTCCACCACCTTCTCTCCCGCGCGCTCTCCTCCCAATGCCTCATTCGCCCCTCTCCGCCCCCTTCGTCAGCGCGCCCGACTCTCCCGCTCCACTCTCAGCCTCCTCGTCCCCATGGTCGCAGCCTACCCCCTTTCCTCGCCGCCGCCTCGCGGTACTACGCGTCATCCATATCCAGACGGCGGCGGCGCGGGTCGGCGCCGCCGATGCTGCCGAGGCGGAGGACAGCCGGGAGGAAGGGCCCCATCGAGCTCAACGTGCAGATTGGTATCGAGGAAGCCCTCCCCGACGCCCCCCTCGTCCTGGTGATAGCTTCCGCACGCTATTTTCGCTCCTTGGATTTGTTTAATTCATAATAAATTGTCTCTAATTACGAATGGCGACGCAGAGTATTGCAGAAGCACTTCGAAATGACGGTGGGAAGGCAACGAAGTTGTCACTCCACAATCTGGACAATTCGGAGTACACGACCAGAGACCCTTGTATAAGCAGTGTGGATAAGTACGATAGCTTTGATGTCTCCCTACTGCTTTGTGATGACGGTTTCATCAGGAAGCTGAACAAGGAATGGAGGGATGAAGACCACGCGACGGACGTTCTGTCCATGTCGCAGCATATCCCAGGGCTCCATATTCCCATTGTAAGACGTGCTGTTGAACTAGTTTATCTGTTACAGATGTTTCTGTCAGATCTTATTATTTACTTGTTGTTTTCTGTTCAACGGCTGCAACTAGGTGACATAGTAATTTCTGTTGAGACAGCCCGATGGCAAGCAGAAGAGAGAGGCCATACACTTCCTGATGAGATAAGAATTCTCATGGTTAACCTCTCTGACTTACTGCTACCATCACATTTGCTTTCCTTATTGGGGTGCCCGCGTGTTTCTGTTTGTAGTTGTGTAGGTCTTGTCTGATTTATCAGTGAGCTCCTATTATAGTTTGAACGGTCACAATAGAAAAATTAGTGCTATGTTTGTATTTACTTCATCGGTTTTTATTTTGAATTAGTGCTATGTTTGAAAGTTGAAAGTTGCATACCAAGACAAACATTCAAGTTTTGTCTATTGGCTTGACCGCGTGACTATCTTCTGTGTACAAATAATTACTTAGATGCTACTTCTGGTGTATCTTGTGAAGAAATCTCCATGTGTTGTTCAGTGTTGGAATAGGTTGAAGCTTGCGAGCCTATTCTATGCTAACCAACTTATATTCATCAGGTTCATGGATTATTGCATTTATTGGGCTTTGATCATGAACTCAGCGAGGAGGCTGAAGAAGAGATGGAGAAGGAAGAAGAACAAATATTAAATACTCTTGAATGGAAAGGGAAAGGACTCATTAGGAGTGCATACCATTTCTGTACTGATAGGTCGCCCTTGCAGATTATTTTTGTGTGTTTTTTCTTTATGTGGGTTGCCACCTGTTTCTTCTCACTGGCGTACCTCTGAACTTTTAATATGTAGAAGCCAATAGATAAAATGAGTTTACGGGAGGGTCATCAGCCAAAACTGACCCATATAATATGTGATATAGATGGAGATGGTGAGTTGGCGAAGCATCAAGAAGTATACTGTTTATGCTGGATCTTACCAACTTCTAGCAAGTAACTTCTTTGCAAAAATATTAAGGTACTGTTGTTGATTAGGAAGGATGCCTACGTTCAGAATCGATAGAATCTTTGAGAGAGGCAATATCATGGGGAGTAATTGTTATCATGCTTACTGGCAAGGTGGGTTTTACTCTTATATATTCATCATGAATGCAAAGCTATTCGGCCGTCCAATGTGAATGGCCGTGATCTGAGGTTAAGGCTAGTTCCTGCTCTTTCCTTAACAGTATTACTGATTATCAATGGTACGGGTAGCTTTCCCACAACATATAGTATGTTGAAGTAGTCTTGATGTCTTGATGAAAGCTGAAAGTTATTTCAGTAGGATGTTAGTGCTTCTATGTAGCTTCTTATCTTAGTTGCGGTTTAATTTCAGATGGAATTCATATAATGAGCAATATAATTTAGACTTGTGATGAGTTACAGCTGACTATTTGTGATATTAGTCTTAAGCACACTATGAAGTTTTGTAAGAAATGCAGAAGCAAAGCATGTAAATATTCAACATAAGATGACTACATTTTTAGTATAATTGTATTTTTTCGAAAAGGTAGTATAATTGTATGTTTCTAATATTTTCTTGATTTTCATCCCTTTTAATTAGAACCGTGCTTCCACCAATAGCAACCTTCAAGCTTCTTAATTTAGAAGGTAGAGACGATTTTATATCGGAGAGTTCACCTGGTATATTTCTACAGGTACATCCTCTCCATTTTTACCCGAATAGTTGTAGAAATTGGAAATTGGTTATCAAGGCCACACCACACTGGCTTTGTGCCAGTGTTCTTTTGGCACCCATATCCATCTTTGTCGAACTAGACATGTCTGGACATTCGAGTAAAATTTTATGTGTCCAATTGCTCTACTGAATCAGGCACCCTAATCCATTGTTAGACTGCAACACCCTTGGTTCCTATGAGAATAACCGGCTAACCCTGCTTTATGTCATCTATGCTTTTCTACTG